CAAGCAAAGATTCGATTGCACGTCTGGCTGCTAGAAAAAGAGCTGGCAAGCGTCCTTGGTTGACATGTTTCCGGGGAGATTGACCAAACAAAAAGGGCAAGGAGGTCCCTGAAGAACAGGGAATACAAACGCAAAGAGCTAACATAAAGCGTTGAAAGAGACAAAAGGGTATCCCAAACAGAAAGGCCAAATGCAAACTGTGGGCAGAAAACCCCGGCGTGGGGCCTATGGGCGGCACGTAGGAGCTGCTGCCCAGCGCGGGTGGCACCTGGGCTGGCCAGCGCTTCCTCCCCGCTCAAAGACGCACCAAGGCGACAGCCAACTGCACATGTGTGGGGGTTGTCAAAACCATGGGGCCCTTTTAAACCCTGGTGCCACCTTTCGCCTTTTAAAGGGGATCCCGAAAATTGACACCCACCCGCACACGACTGTCCACACAAACATACATTCGAGTTGCGCAATGGCGGCCCCGACGTCTGTGCCCATGCATGCAGTCACAGAGCATTCCTCCAACAAATGCCAAACGCCCTCATACAAGACTCAACCTCCAGAACAAGCCAGCTCTCCTTTGCGACCGACCAATTCGGGGTTCCGGAATGGAACTTTTGGCATGCTCAGAGACCCTGCAAGTGAGCCCCAAAAAACCCAGCGGGTTTGTGGCTGAACAAGCCGGAAAACAATAAGAAAAAGGCGAAAACCACATGCGGCCTTGGTGGGTGGAGAGCCTATTGGGGGGGAGATTGGCAAATACAGATTCATCAACCTGGCGAATTATTTGCGGGGGTGTCCCCGCAAAAGTAAGAACGATTTTTCAAGTGAGCAGTCGTGGTTCTGCAGTTTGGCAAATGGTATTGAATCATGTCTTGTTCAAGAAATGCCTACGCGAGAAGCCTACGCGAGGGATGAAACAACAGGCTGCGCATAAAAGCCTACGCCAGCCTAGCACCCAGCCCGGATTGTCTCCGCTGATTTAAAAGCGCTGCCCAAGCGGGCCGAACGAAAGGGGTACTTGTTTTGTCTCTTGATATTCAAGCGCCCTAAACAAGGCGAAACAAAGCGGACCACAGGACTGGGAAGGGAATGGAAACAGGGCTTGACGGAAAATCTTACAGCACTACAGTACGAGTTTTGTTGGCTCAACAACCCCACAAAAGCTTTCAGTTGGCGAGGGCACGGTATGGCTCATGCTTTCGCCACCCATTCCTTGCTGTTCTCCAGCAGGATCACCATTTGTAGTGCTGCTATGATGTTTTGGGCTAGATGTTGGGATTCTCTGTCCGGATCTGCTCCTCCCAGTGTCTAATTTGTTGCAGCACCTGGCTTGTGGCCTCTGTCCCGCTCCCCTCCACTCTGTGGATAGCCCTCAAGACATAGCTTACTATTACCTGAAAGGTACAAGATCAACACACAAAGGACATCATAGACGCGTATATACGTACGTCTTCCTATAACTCCAAAAACAGGAAGTAAGGAATCCCCAGTGAAGGACCTACATCATGATGGCGTTTCTCCCGCATCGAGGCGCTCGACATAAACTATCCGCAAAGGGATGCCAAGGCAAACTCGACAAGCAAAGCTATGCTACACATGCCTGTATTTGACTAAAAGGAAAACCCAACAAACGGAGGAAAGCACATGAGGGGAAGAACAAATGTTACTCCATATTGTGGAAGCTTAAATGAAACTATCTGCTTTTTACAATGATTCAACAAAACCTGAAATAAGGGATCCCCAAGTAAAGGATCTTTACCCTGAGCTCGACTTCCATTTGCTTAAGACCCCTTGGAAAAACATATTTCCAGTAGTGATAGATTCCCTTTAAAACCAACAAGGGACAATAACAAATGTTCATTTCAGCAAATGGAAGTCGACGTTATGCCCCCCGAATCGGTGAGCTCGTCCCCCAAAATACCCCGGGCCGCGGCGCGTATCCGGGCGGCGCCACGAAGGAGCCGCTGGGCTGCACGTAGGCCACCGGCGGCACGTAGGACCTGAGGCTTGGGGGAAAAAGGGCAACCAAGGCGCAACGACTCTTGTTAGACTCAGGTAGCAGTTCTGGGGTGCAACAAGTAACATCGGCTTCCAGTTTTATAAACCATTTAAGAGGGAAATCCATCTATTTCTAGGCAAAAGGTCACCTACTGTGGATGGTTGCGAAATCCATTTCGCACCACCGTTCAGAAACCCTGGTTTCTGATTCGATTCCCCTCTCTAAATACCAACCAACAATGGTTTCCAATACTTTCAAAGTGGTGCAGGATTTCGTCCATCCACAGTAGGTGTCCTGCTTGGGCAAATAGATGGCTTTGGATGATTAAACCAGGTAAACCAGGAATCGCCATTTATTCTTCCACCACAACAACCAAAAGGACACCTATGCTCAGGTAGCAGTTCCGGGGTGCCAAAAAGAACAATCAAAGGGACACCACAGGGTTGGGGCCCACCATTGTTGGGGGCCAAGTCCCTTTTTTGGCACCCAAGCTTGAGACCATACACTCCTGTAACATGGTAGTGGGAAGCTAGCTAAACCACAAATGTCCGCTTCAAAGAAGCCCTCGAAGCTTGGAAGTTGTGTATTTTCAAAATTCAATAGAATAGATGTTGTAGAGTGGTGTGTTTTCAGAATTTACTGGGCTGTCCTCAGATCCCCTGCTAAAAGTTTAACTTTTAGTGGCTTAAATGGACACCCCCACAAAACCCTAAAAAGCTAAAAGGCTAATGGGGATGGCTGGGAGCCACCAAACGAAACATAGTGTGTTGTTCATGGCCACCATTGGCGAATAGCAATTATTTTGCGCTTCGGGATTGACCGACTTGCCGACAGACACGATAATGAATACGCGTGTTCCAAATAGAACAGGGCATTGCCGAAGCTCTGATTCGTTGACGAGTTGTCCCTCCTGAAGGTCAAACATCGTTCTCGAGCTGGTAGATTCCGTTGACCAAGTTCGCAAAGCAAAGCCACGCAAATGCAGGAGGAATGTGCGGAACCCCCTCTCATCCGCGAATCACATGCAACAAACTCACAGCCCACGTGCAACAAACCCACAGCCGCAATCCAGGGGTGACTCTGGGCAGGTTCCATGTTTGTTGGTGGGAGAGTAGGGAGGGCTCCCAAAGGATTTCCGGTTTCGGTTGCTCTCGATTTATGATCTTGGCATGGGAGTTCTTGATGCGTTGTGTGATAATTTCGGGGAAACTTGAGGGAAACGGGATCCACGTCCTTAAGCATCTTCACGTTGCCCACTGGATTCCTACCATTGGTGCAACATCGTTTTGGAAGGATTCCTCTTTAAACTCAGCCAGCTCAAAAAGGATGCCCGATGCCCTTGTTTCACATGGTTACCGGGCATCTGAGTTCATTCAAGGTTTGCTTTCAAAGACGTGTGTAACCTTGTTCAGTCAGCATCTGCCCCTTAAGTAGACCGAGGTTGGATAGGCATGTCTTGCCGGATGTGGTTGGGGGGCACGGGGTAGCGGCTCAAACGGCCCGTACTGTGTGCGGACAAATTCCTGCACCAGTCGGCAAGGGTTTATCTCAATATTCAAATTTCATCTGTCCCAACTGGTGCAGGATTTTGTCCACGACGACGATGTTCCTCAAGGGGCGCTTTGGTGGTTTCCAGGCTGGTGCGGCGGCACGTGGGGCCACGCGTTTTTAGGGGAGTTCGTGGGAAAGGGGGTCAGCCCTCAAGGCCTTCTGCAGGAGAAGACGGAACCCAAAGGGGTCACTTAAAATAAGTCCATTGATTGTGGGGGTGTTTCTTTTTGTGGGGATTCATCACACAAAAAATGCTTTTTCACCCCCATTCTAACAGGTTGGTTTCAAAAAATCCGGAGTCAACATTACAAACGGTCTTGCTGACAAAATCCTGCGCCACTTGGTTGGCGCTTTCTCCCAAAGGGCTTCATCCATCCCAACCAGGTGGATGTTCTCCACCCACCTCACCCATGTGCCCGCCGCAGCTGCGCCTTTTTTCGGGTCTTGATGGGAATCCGAGGTCCGGGCCCGCCGGGGGGCACCACAAAGGAGCCGCCGCTGAAGCTGCTTGGGTATCTGGAAACTCGAGCGGGTTTCATCCATTTGGTTAAGACCCCTGGAAAAAAGAAAAGGAATCGATTTCAGTAGTGATAGAGTCCCTTTAAACTTTAAAACCAACAGGGCAAAAAACAACAAATATTTCAGCAAATGGATGGTTTTCACCCGAAAGCATTCCGTGGAACCAAAATCGATAGGGCCCCTCTGGGCTTCTTGGTCTTCGGCGAATCTTCTGTCATTCCCCGAGCCCCACTGTTTTCGGTGGGTGTTTGGCGAATCCGCTGAAAGTGCCTGGGAATTTCAGCTGGCTTTGGCGCTGTCCAAATCGATCCTGTGGGAAATCAAAAGAGTGCCCAAAACCATGGGGTAGGCTGGCATGGGACAAGACAAGGTTCAAACCTGCAGGTTCTACCAGCATTGCAAGCATCTCCTAAGAAAGAAAAAGGTCAGCTACGCACTGCCAGAAGAATCTCTATGGGGAATTCGGCGCACATTTGTTTTAAGTGTTGGGAAACAAACCCGGCCCAATCCCTCCTTTCTTTCCGAGGGCTGGGAGGACGGGGCTACGAACGAGAAGGCGGAGTTGCCGCTCACCCCTCCAGTTCCTGCTCGGCAAAATCGCACGGAGGACCGGACAGCTGGTTGACCCACCGGAGTCGATTGAGCAAGTCCTTCTTGGATGGGGGGTGCTCTTCGTAAGAATCCGCGGAAGCTTGACGTTTGGAGTTTTGACAGGCCTACATGGCAACCCAAAAGGCTGAAAACCGCCAGTGGTGGACCTGTAAAGAACCCATGTCTCCAAGATCATTTAGAAAACAGGCCAAGCGGATCATGGTGACCACATGTGGCAATCGTAGGTAACCAGACATTCCTTCTGGTAGTTCAGGGTTGTTTCCTTTGTTACCCTCCCACCTAACATAGAATCTGTCAACATCCTTCCTCTTAGGTCAACTGCATTTCCTTCGGAAGCTTTCCCATTTCGAGGTGAAATCTCCTCAAAGCACAAGAGTCAAGAGTATCATCCCCAAGATGGTTTGAAAGAATGAAACGTCGATCAGACTGAGTCATGATCAAAACCTGGCAATGACATTGTCTACACACAATGCAAAGAATTAGAAAGGCGGCAAAGGCGCCCGTTGGCTGGGAGTGTCACTTGCTACCCTGCAAATATCCAAGGGGTGCTCTGACTGTGACTCCACAAAAAGACGGCCCCCCCTAAACCTCGGGTTGGATGCGTCACGGCGCGCCGCACTCGCCTGGGGATGGCGCCGCCCGGCACCCTCGGGCGTACGTATGGTGCAGTCCCGTGGGGCCCAAACCAGCGACCCCCGGCGGGAGGGGGGTGGGGGGTGAATTTCTCTGGTCTTCCCATGGAAAAATGGAACCATCAACGACAATCCCCAGGGTTTATTTATCTCCTCCCCCAATTTCCCCCCCAAAAAAAGGGGCCAGGGCTAGCGTCTTGTTTCCTGAAAATCCAGATGCGAAACTCTCAGAGGCTCGTAGTTGGCTACGCCCCCTTGCAGAAACACATCTAAAACGTCCATAAAAAGGCTGGCTGGGAACCGCCAAGAAAACATGAACCCAACAAACATTCAAACACGTACGTGAAAAGGCCTTGAACACTTAGATACGTTAGAACCATGCCGACCGCAAAGACATTCGATGACGATCCAGTTTGGCAAGCTTTTCAAAAGGGCTGCCCAAAAGAACATACAAGGCGTGCGCCTTTGTTTTTAGGCTACTGATTTGTGTTGGTATATTTGGCATTGTTTGAAGGATTTGTGAAATTGTTTTGATTTGTGCTGGTTCGACATTTGTTTGAACGTGTTATTGTTGTTGTCTGTGTTCGGCATTTTGTTGAATGTGTTTAGTTTGGCTGGCTGGCCGGCTGGCTGGCTCTCTTGCTAGCTTGGTCGGCACATGTCTGCCTTGAGCTAGAGAGCTCTAAGCCGTTTGCTCCTGACAGTTGCTGACAGTTGACACCTTGTTGGCGGACATCAGACGCAAATCCAAACACTATGTGTCCCAAATTCACCCCTAAATCAATTTTAATGATGCTGTTGATGCTCCTCGCAAGCCCCATGAGTGCACCTCCCAAGAATGGCCCTATCCTCATAAAAGATCACTTCCTCTCGTGCCAAGGAGCGAGAAGGAGCCGGCCGATGCTGGCACGGCGCACCTATGATACGACCCGGAACGTTGACCCTCTTCACAAAGTCTTCAACTTTTTGTGGCTCCAATTCGGACCATCCGCCTCTTTCAACCAAACAGCTTTGAAAAGTCCAAAGATCCGCGACCACATCGCCCAAACAAGTGGTGGGCCAAACCCCTCGGCTCAATTCCTAAGATTTCCTATGCGGATATCATCCATTGGAGCCCGGGGATTCCTCCGAACCCCCCCCCCCCCCCAGGTTTGTTGGGCGAACCAGTACATAAAAAAAAAGAAAACCAGACCTGTTGGGCAGACCAGTACTAAGCCAAAAAACCCCAGACTCGTTGGCCTGGCCCGATCAAGCGCAGAAACTACCGCCTTGGATTTCCCAAGCTTTGCCAAGGGCATTGCTGGAAGCTGGGAGCCCAAGTAAGCCTTCAGGCCTTGTTCTGGGCTTAGTCGGGGTTTACTTGGGCTCCCCCCCCGTGCTCTAATGGTTGATTCGCACATGGTTTGATCCCAAGAACCTAGAACGGGTGATCCCGATACACATTTTTGCGCAGCCAGCGACACAGCTACTATCCCTTTTGAGGGCTTTAGCGTTGACGTCACTGCCATGTACCCACCGGACAAGTTCAGAAAACACTGCAGAACGGGGCTGAAGGGATTACTCATGCGTTCGTGGCGTCAGGCTGTCACCACACGATAAGATGTGGAAAGCACGGCACGTGGGCAATATGGCTGTGGGTCAAAACCCTGATACCCCCCCTTGCCGCCCAGATTCCTTTCCAAAATGGACCAAACAAAAGGGCAGTTGCCAACAAAAAGGTATCTGGGTCTTGGCCCAGACCCATCTTTGAACTGCTCTCAGCTTCGCAACCGCCCGCAGTGGGACTAGGCTTCGGCGCCTTGAAGCTGCGAGCTCCACGACCCTCAATGACTAGGTCCTCTAGTAGAGAGGTTAGAATCAGAGTACCAACTTTTTTCTGTAGTCTGTTTTAGGGGAACCCTCCCAACCAAAAAAGGGGTGGGAAAGGGCACTACTGGGGGACCTAGATGAAGTTCATCTGCTCCTCTGGGGCGAGCATCTGCTCGATGAACTTGCGCTGGCAAAGAACTGGCCTTTTGCTCCCAGGCCTCCCATTTTCGAACGTCGTGGTTGTGCTGCATGTGCTTGAGATTATTCGCTTATGCCTCTAGTTGGGCTTCTGGTGCTCTCGTGATGTCCTCAAAATGACCCTTTAAATGGTGTTAAGGGAAACAACCCAACAAAAGGGGAACCCCTCAAAATGTTCACTTTGGGTGTCGGACAAAGCACTCCTGGAAATGCTTTTGACGCTCTGGCTCGGACCGGAAACAGTAGCCCTCGTGAAATTTGCGTGGCATGCGAAGCGTATTGCAAGTCTGAGGTCTGACAAAACCCGCTTTGGTTAGTCGGGGTGCCTCTTTGTTGGGGTTTTGTTAGGGGTCCCCCAAAAGGGATATATACCCGTCAGGAAAACCAAGAGGAACACCACAACTTTGGGACGGGGGGGTCTTAAAAAAGACACACCCATTTAACAATGATCTCCCTAGAAGTAGACTCAGGTAGAATTTAGAAACCACACGCTATTCTGAAATTCAACATACCCAAGCAACCAACAGGAGTCCCCTTTTGGGTCACCCCGTTTTGAGTTACATGTAAATTTGCAGAGTATTCACTACGACACATGGCGGGCTTTTCCGGAATTCTTAGGGAGACGGTTCCCTATGGGAACCTGTCCTTCCTTTCCAAACATGAGACGCTCCTATTTCTGAGTGTGACCTTTTATCTTGGTTGACGTTGGAAGCGGAGCAAAAAATCATTTGTTAGCAGTTAAGTGGGGATTTCACCCACTAAACCACAAAATAAGCAAAAATGTAAAATGGTTCCCAACAACAACCATGTTATCCAGGTTCTCAAATTGTGGCGCATAGGTTGCAAACCTGCCAACAAAAACAGCGGGGATTCTCACTTGCCCAAAGGACCTGGAATTACAAGGCTAACCTTTTGGGACCCCTACTAAAAATGGACCAAGAAGGGAAACGAAAAGGTCAAAAGGTCGATTCGATTTGAACATATTTGAACAACTGAGTATGGGTAAACGCGTTATCTTCCATTTGCATAACCCCCCTGGAAGGAATGAGACCATATGTCCAGTAGTGAAATCGAATGAGATCGATTCCTTCTAAACCAACAAGAGCAAATATGACTTGTCCTGAACCTGGGGTCGCCGGACTTCCCCGAATCAAAAGCTGATCAACTCGCTGGCCCGTTGTTTTCTACCACTTTTGGAGGTTCCAAACCTTGGTTGCTTTCCGCTCCCCTGCTAAAAGTGACTGACTTTTAGTGGTGTCGTACGGAAAACCCATTAGTTAGCAAAAAGTTCTCAAGTCCTAACATCCCTTGGCAAGATGCACCAAAGGAAACCCAACAACTAAACCAACACAAAAGAGAGGAGCACCTAAGGGGATGCACCAAAGGAACAGGGAACCGCAGGGAAATCCCTCTGAGGCGCCGCGCCCGTAACCTTGCAGCCCGCTGGTCCTGAGCTCCGAGCAGTGGCAAAAACCGACGGCGGAAAACCGAACTTTGCAGATTTCAAGACCTGGAGGGCAACGGTGCTAACAAACCGAAGGCGGGAAACCTGGAGATTTCAAGACCAGACCTGGAGCCTCAAACTACCAATATACATATATATATATATATATATATGTATTATTGTTGTTTTTGTCCACCCTAACCCATTTGTTGTAGACATTTTGAGGGTTCTAGGGAGACCTGGAGCAGACGCCAGTGCTGTCCGCCCGCTGAAAACCCATGGGAATCACCGCGCAGCGCCGCTGGTCTTCCAATCATCGTGCAAGCTGCGTGCGCGAGAGGGTTCTCACCCCACGTTGGGGCCAGAGCCGCATTTTTGAGTTGGACATGTTGAGGGTTGCAGCAAGCTATGTCCCAACCAAAGCAGTGGGCAAAGGCCACAAATCGAAGGGTCGAAGGGACTGCATCCTGGCACCTTCAGAGCAAAATAGACCCCCTGAGCACTCTGACCAGCGCCAAGCTGGCCCGAACTCGCAAAACAGCTTGCCCCTGAAGTAAGAACCCGAGTAACCTTTCGATGGCTTTCAGCCATCTGGGGAATGATTGGGGAAGACAAAGGAGACCCTGGAGTTGCTGTTTAGTGCGCTCAAGGTGCTATGGTGCGGCGGTTGCTGGCGTTGCTGCTTGGCGATGCAGCCAAGGTGCTGGCGGTTGCAATCTCCCATGCTATCTGGGGCCTGGTGCAATTCCCAAAAGAGAAAAGAGACCCATGAAAGTTACAGAAATTATTGGAGGGCTCCCCATGCATAACTCCTGACCCTGGAAGTGACAATCCACTTCAAGAACGCTCCCCAGCTGCGCACCGAGCAGCATATAGCTGCTGGTTGCCAGGATCGGCGCCGGCACAGAGACATACCTCGAGACCGTCAAGCTTTAAGCTGTTGCTCGCGTGGCCATCTAGGGTCCTGCTTCTATACCCCAAAAAAGAAGCATATGTCAGCAATGAGCTTGGCTTTTTTGGGCCAAGCAGGTGATCATAAGGCTGCTGGGATTTGCCTGGACGACCTGTGGAGTGATGCGGATGCAGCCACCAAGCACTTTCGCATGGTTTCGGGTTGGTTGTTGGGGGTGAACAAGCAGCCTGGCAATCACCCATCGAAAGCGTTGCTGTTGATCCCTCTGCAAACAGTTCTTCACTTTTTGTGGGTCCCATTCGGAAAATCCCGCCCGTTTCGGCCAAAAAGGTTTTCAAGTCCAAAGATCCGCCACCAAATCCCATAAAGGATCAGCTTCCCAGTTGCCGGATGGGACATGAAGTAGCCAAAGGGCCCCAAACCGCGGGACCCAAATGCCCCATGAGGGCCTTCAGGGAGTCGGTTTCTCGCTGATCAATGTGGCTGGATGCAATCATTTACCAGATTGAAATCCCCTTTAGTGGCTTTAAAGGACAACCAATGCGAAAAACAACCGAGATCCAATGAGATCCATTTTGGGGGGTGCCCTAAAAACAGACACGCATGATGCTTTCACTGTGAACTCCAAAACCAATCGCTTTCCAGGCAAACGGCCCACATGAGCTGATTTTACCGGTGCTGCCGTAAGGCAAATGACATCAATTTGATGTTGCAAAATTCTAAAGCTCTGCAGAAAGGGTGTGGAACGGAAATAGTGACGGGGAGAGAGAGAGAGAGAGAGAGAGAGAGAGAGAAAGAAAGAGAGAGAGAGAGAGAGAGAGACAGAGAGAAAGAGAGAAAGAGAGAAAGAGAGAAAGAGAGAAAGAGAGAAAGAGAGAAATAGAGAAAGAGAGAGAGAGAGAGAGCGCGAGAGCGCGAGAGGGAGAGAGGGAGAGCCACAGCTCGCCTGGCTACACGAAACACGGCATAACGGAAAACTTAGCTACCTTGCTACATGTTGCATTCTCGGGTTAGCTCGCCAGAGACAAAACACGGAGTTTGCAAGCCTTATGAAACTGTCCCAAACGAAACAAATGCAAACACATATGAAGAGATCATGTATCATCTGCGGGCATGCTTGCTTTCTCGGGTGATTACTTGCAGATCTATCGCCAAAGTCCTCAGAACAAGTCTGCTCAGTAGCGTTTTGCTGCCTTTGTTGTCAAAGCCGCAAGAAGAGATCTATTAGGAAAGGTATCACCAGTTTTGTGCAAAAGCGCTGAGAACATGTTGATCAGTAAAATACACATAAAACCCAACTTGCGTGTCTTAGATTCAGCCTATTTGATCTGGCTGCTTCTTGGACACCAATAAGCAAGCAAATTGTCTCATATCTTGCTGGCTGGTCAAAAAGCGTGCCAGAAAGACAGCCAGCTACTTTCTTGGTTGCTTTCTGCTCCCCTGCTAAGATTGACTTTTAGTGGTTTAATGGCAAACCCATTAGTTGGCAAAAAGTTACAGTCCTAACATCCAAGCAAAATGCACCAAAGCTTTCTAAGTCGTCTTACCTGGAGGATAACAAAAAGTCTCCAAGAATCCCCAGGTGCCATGTTAGAGGGAGGGAAAGTCTTTTAAAAAAGTTGAGGCATGGCACGCGGGTTTTTTCAGAGGCCACTGAAGAACTGGGCGACAAAAGGCCCATGTTCAACCATTGTCCCATTCCAGCGCTTGGCATCCAGCGCTTAAATTCATTCTCCCATGTCATTCTCCCAAGTCCAGCGCTTGGATTCATGAATTAGATGGGGCATATGGCCAGCGTGGACTTTTCTGACTCCTTCCTCTCTTCGCTCCCTCTCTCTTGGGCTCTCCGGCTGGCAGGGGCTGGGCCCGAGCCTCGGAGCCGAAAAGCGAGACTTTTTTCGGCCGACACGTCGGCGCTGAAAAGTCGAATGCGGCCGGTGCCCAACCTCCATTTGCTGAAGTCCCCGGGGAAAGCACATGCACCAGCACCCTGCCGGCCGTCAACTTCTCGAACAAACGCGCCCCTATATTTCCATTTGGTTAAGACCCCAGGCGAAAATGAGAAAATATGTGCAGTGGTGATAGATTCCCTTTAAAACCAACAGGGGAAACATATTCTCAACCAAATGGAAGTCAACGACCGGTTTGAACCTACGGTCCGTTCCACGTTGGCAACTAGCGACCCGATCCCTCGAGGAAACTGATCTTCCAGGTGCCTTCTCACAGCTATGTTGAACCACGTTTCTGGTGCCTTCTGCCTTAATTATCTGGGTGCTGCACGAAAAGGTTCACATGTTGCTTGGGGGGAAGAGTCATGCCAAAGGGCCCCACCAAAGCTCAACGTCGCCTCGACTATGCTAGGTAGATGCACTTTTCTGCAACCTTCGAAACACTTCCAACACGAGCCCTCTCGGCCTCTGTGTGGTTTGTCAACAAGGTTTGGACACGGCTTCTTAGAGAGGCATCGTTCGGCTTCCCTTTAAACAACCTCCAGAAAGGGTACCCGAACAAAACAAACACACCAATATGACGCTAGCTTCGCACAAAGTATGAGTCACTCGTACTGCTGGCCTAATCCTCAACTAGCAGCGTGCTCACAAGAGGCATGGTCACAACTGATTCTGCAGAACATTGTTGAAGGTTGGTGGAAAGTAAACTTTTGCATCCAGAATCCGCCTAAACTCTTTGCATCAGAAAGTCTAACGACTGGAACCTGCCAAGACTAACACGCAGGTCATGGCGCTTGGGATTACCTCCAGCTCCGCAATTGTAGCTTGGCGCAACTCCACGACCTTTGAGATGAGTGTCGCCCCAAAAAAAAATCCGGCGCACTCGTTGCAGGGCTGAGCAAGGCTCACCGTCCGTTGATCTGCAATCAAGGATTACTGGAATACCTCCCTAAACACCCCTCGAACAGGGAGCAGCCCGTCACATCTGAGTCGCCCCGCCAAGCTCAACTGGAACAATGGAATTAGCATGGGCCAGGGAGGGGGGAGGGACCCCAAAGAAGCCCTTATTAAGCCCTTATCAAGCCCTTATTAAGGCCTGGTTTCGCGCTTCTTTGGGCTCCCCAGCCCCCATGAAATTAGGGACCCCCAGCTTCCGTTGGTTTCCCTCCAGTGCCAGGTAGGTCCCACCGTGTCCATGTAAATGGATGGCGACATCCATTGCCTTCTGTATCCAGCAGCACGAAATCGTCCAAGACTTGAATTGAGTGAGCTGGCGCACTTCGCATATCACGTGCGCCACCTCCGACCTTGCAATGACCCGGCGGCCTCCCACTGCCTTCTGTCGTTGATCGCGTCGCGGACTTCCATTACCTCTTATGCAAGATGACACATCCGTTTGCTCGTGACAAAAATGTCAGGAAGCTGAAGCAACAGTTTATGCCACATCAGCTGCTCTCCATAGAAGGACACCCCTCCAAGTCGCGCCTATTCGTAGCTCGTGGCCAGAAAGGGCTCGCTGCTCTGCACAGCGCGAAAGAGCTAAGGGACGACTCCAGGGGTCACCACCCCCGATTCCGTGGCTTGGGGCGGAGGGATTGAGGGGACAATCCATAGACGCCAGAAAAAGAGAGAGAGAGAGAGAGAGAGACCACGGGATTCTTAGGTCGAGACCGGTTTGGCTGGAGCTCATTGTTGGAAATTCAACAGCCCAAGTTGGATGACCCTAGTTGTAGCTCGAAAAGAAGCAGGGAACATCAGGGAACCCTGCGGTTTAATAATTCTGGCTGCTCAAAACAGGACCCCCAAATGGGTGTCGGTTTTGCAGGAACCCCAAACTCGATGGCTTTAACGGGAAACCAAAAGCAAACCACCCATTTTCGCGTGGGGGTCCGATTCATTTGGGTTCTCCTCCACACCCGGCGGTTCTTGGCATCCGGGCGGCTGATAGAGCGTCTGCCTCGGATGCCCAAGGCAAGCGACTGGTTCCGAAACAACAAAGGCTCTCAAATCAACTCGGGTATATCTTTCTGTAGGGGACCCCCCTCCCCGCAAAAGAAATGGTGGTTTCTTTTTGGAATCCCTTTGACACAGACCAAAAAAGGGGTACCCTCCAAACAAAAACACGCCCATTTCCCCAGTTAAAATGGGACCCAGTGTGTTTGAGGCAACATCCTTTCGAAAAAAAGTGGACCTCCTTTTGCGTTCGATGTTCATAGGGAAATAAGAGGTGATGTCTCAACTACCCAAATTAGGGAGACGTGAGGACCGGGATCAAATGACAATCTTTCGAATGGTCTTTCACTTGGCCACACATAGAACCCCTGCTTTTCAATTGACCTGCTGCTTGTCAAAAGGGAACCTGAAGACATCCCCAAAGGGCCAGCAAGGAAAACCACGAGATTCTGTCTACAACTGCTGCCGATGAAAGTCTGACCATCCCAAACGACCCAGGCTACATGGGGGTTGATCAATATTCCTGGCCCTAACCATGGGTAACTTTTGAATGGTTGAAATATGCTTGTTTGGTGGTTTCCCGAGCAATGGCAATCCCATGTCAAGGACCTTTTGATCAACCTCATGTTCACCAACCTGAAAGCAGGAAATCCACCCGCATGGGAGAGGTCGCACCCTCCCCCCTACCCCCCCCCACCCCCCGCGGGCATCAGTCGCGATGATATACCCGGACCGTGCTTGCAACCAAACCTACAACCTCCCTTTCCATCTTTAAAGCTGAAGCTAAAGCAAGACAGGGTCCTAAATCGATTCCCTTGGGTCCTAAAACTGGCGTCCCCAAAATCCCCACGCAAGAATCACGAATCCTGGAGCGCCATGGGGCCACATTTACGGCATGCCAGGAAGAAAGAAAAAAACGGCCAAACGTGGCCCACATCTGAGGTGCACCAAACTTTTGGTGGAACCCGCTAAGACATGCACCCAAGCAAAACATTTGTGACCCTAATCGAGTGGGTTCTAAATGGGCTCCTTTCGGATGCCACATACATGATTGTCCTGTACAAGCTGAAACCCTTTTATTAGAACCAAAAAGAACGGGTGGGTTCCCAGTGGTAATAACGCGTCCGCAGCTGGAGCACTGCTCCATATGTGTTCCGACATGCGAGGTCGGGCGCAAGCCAGATGTACAGCAAACCAAAAGCAAACCGGCCACATCGCAGAGAATCCGCGAGCAAACCTTTAGCAGTTTCCATGATCCAAAAAACAGACGGACATATTTGCTTAAGGGTTCGTGCGAACTTGTCTCGCCTTGCGTTTTCCATCTTTTGCGATGAATTGCATTCCCAAAGGGGGGTGCAATCAGCTAGCTGTCTCAGGGTGATATATATATATATATTACCCCAACACTCTCTCGGGCCCCTCCATGCTTAAAGCTTCTGTTGGGCCCAATTCGGAAAATCTCAACAGCTTCAACCAACAAGTTATTCAGTCCAAAGGTCCGTTCCAGCTTCTTAAGCCCCTGGAAAAAAATGATATGTCCAGCAGTGATGGATTCGCGTTGAAGCCAAACAAGTGTGTACATATATATATATATACTAAATAACAATAGCTATCTATATATAATATACATATATATATATATATATATTAGCGCAAGAACAAAAAACATGTCAGCACCTAGAAGGCCAAGGAGATTTTGGGTCTAAGGGGAGACTCCAGCAAAATAGCCTTGCCTTTCGAGGCTTGAGCCGACCTCTAACTCCCCTCATAGCACCTAGGCCTCCGGCGGCGGGTAAGCAGCCAACGGCGCCCTGAGACCCAACAAGGATGGCTTGGTGCACCACCCCTTGATTAAAAAAAGCAAGAAAGAAGTGTTCCTCCTAGTAGAAAAAAGATGAGAGATATGTTCCTCCTAAAATGGGAGCATGTGCATTGCCAAGGGATCAAATGGGATCTTATCAGGCTCTTTTGTGGAAAAGCCGCAAATATGAACGTTGCTGTTGGTTCAAATGGGAAATCTCCGTTTAAGTGGACACAGCAAGAGTTTGTTGTTTGGCAATTGCTCAAATAAAGAGGGATGCATGTTCAACCCTGAAATGCGTTCGCTCTTACTCTCTTTCCAATCATGGAAGTTGACACAAATCTCAGCTGGGTCGCTCCAAAGACCCGAATTGGCATAAGCTTGTCTGCTGTTTCCCCTCTGCAAAAGTTTCAGTGTTTGTGGGTCCAATGGAAAATGCACTGTTTCAACCAAAAAGTTGAACACCAACGATCCAACCAAATAGCCGTAAAGTAAGGGTAGAAGTTTGGCCTCTGGCAAAGGGAAACCAACAAGCCACGCCTATGTCTTACCGTTGTGATTTAATCAGATGTTGAAGGCTCTCAGCAGCCCTTGGTGCCAGCTTCCAGCCTGTTGGACAGTTCAGCAGCCTGGAGCCCATCCCTGTAAGAGCGGTCCCTCCTGAAACATCGTCTGTTGAAGCATCACAGAACATGGCACAAGGGGAAATGTAGGAACTGCCGAGCATGCTCCAAAGCACCCTGGCGCAGGTAGAAAATTAACTCTTGGCATGGGAAGTTGAGCAAACCCAGCCAGCTGCTTGCCCTTGTGCTTTGGTCCTTTGGTCCTAATTCAAGTTTCGGAGCAGTGACTTCTTTTCTTCTTACGGCGTGGCCATCTCAAGACATGGAGGTTGATTCTCCACCCTCTTCCCTGCGTGTTTGTCACCCTGCAGAATGAGGGGAACAGCAGGTGAAATCAGTGAAATCCATTGGACTCAGCATCCACACGGTTGGACTCTGTGTGCCAACTGGGTCACCCGGCTGGGGCGAATAAGTCGCCAACGGCGGCCTGTGCAAGGTGCAGCTTGGAGGCTTGTCACCAGGGGTTCAAATGTGTCTTTTGTGGGCAAAGCAGCAAATGTCTTGCTAACGGTTCCTATCTCTTTGTGGGAAGTCAGCAAGGGTGCTTTGTTTTTAGGGGACAACAGGGGTGGATATTCCCACCTAACCCACTAGAAAGGGAACTTTCGAGTCCCTGAAGGAGCGACCCTATCAGTTTTCAGCTGCGGTCCCTGTTCAAATATCACCCCAAGACTCACTGAAAAAGACACAAGGGGACATGTTGGGTCTTAAGTTTCGGAGCACTGACTTCTTTAAGCGCCTCTTCTTTCAGTGTGGCCAACTCAAGACACGCAACAAGAGAAATATGAAATGGCAACTTAGCCGGGCGTTTGTATTTGCACGTTGGGGACACACAAGTTTATAGCTTGTTCGTCTCTACAAATTCACTCACTTGTTCTTCTGAAGAAGTTCACCGAGAAATGCAGATTGGTGTTTGACCTGACTTGTCAAAGACCACTAAGAAGAGAGAATGAAGCTGGGAAGCTTGACAGATCAGAACACTTGCAAAATGCTTGAAGTCATGCAATCACAACATCTCTGCCGATCGACACAAGGATGAAATCAATCTCAAGGACAATATGCAACAATACTCCCTCGAAAGGTTGATTCTCCACCCTCCTGCGTGCTTGTCACCCTGCAGAAAAAGGGGAACAAGTGAAATCCATTGGACTCAGCGTCCACACGGTTGGACTCTGTGTGCCAACTGGGTCACCCGGCTGGGGCGAATAAGTCGCCAACGGCGGCCTGTGCAAGGTGCAGCTTGGAGGCTTGTCACCAGGGGTTCAAATGTGTCTTTTGTGGGCAAAGCAGCAAATGTCTTGCTAACGGTTCCTATCTCTTTGTGGGAAGTCAGCAAGGGTGCTTTGTTTTTAGGGGACAACAGGGGTGGATATTCCCACCTAACCCACTAGAAAGGGAACTTTCGAGTCCCTGAAGGAGCGACCCTATCAGTTTTCAGCTGCGGTCCCTGTTCAAATATCACCCCAAGACTCACTGAAAAAGACACAAGGGGACATGTTGGGTCTTAAGTTTCGGAGCACGGACTTCTTTAAGCGCCTCTTCTTTCAGTGTGGCCAACTCAAGACACGCAACAAGAGAAATATGAAATGGTAACTTATCAAGATTGATGATGAAGCGGGTAGTAAACGACAATACGAGTGTGGATATGCTAATAGCCGGGCGCTTGTATTTGCACATTGGGGACACACAAGTTTATAGCTTGTTCGTCTCTACAAATTCACTAGCTTGTTCTTCTGAAGAAGTTCACCGAGAAATGCAGATTGGTGTTTGACCTGACTTGTCAAAGACCACTAAGAAGAGAGAATGAAGCTGGGAAGCTTGACAGATCAGAACACTTGCAAAATGCTTGAAGTCATGCAATCACAACATCTCTGCCGATCGACACAAGGATGAAATCAATCTCAAGGACAATATGCAACAATACTCCCTCGAAAGGTTGATTCTCCACCCTCCTGCGTGTTTGTCACCCTGCAGAAAAAGGGGAACAAGTGAAATCCATTGGACTCAGCGTCCACACGGTTGGACTCTGTGTGCCAACTGGGTCACCCGGCTGGGGCGAATAAGTCGCCAACGGCGGCCTGTGCAAGGAGCAGCTTGGAGGCTTGTCACCAGGGGTTCAAATGTGTCTTTTGTGGGCAAAGCAGCAAATGTCTTGCTTTCGGTGCTGGGAATCTCCCTCTCTCTTTTGTCTCTCGTTTGTCGCAAGTCAGCAAGGGTGCTTTGTTGTGGGTAATTAGGCGGCAACAGGGGCGGATAGTCCCACCTAACCCACCTGAAGGAGCAACCTTGTCAGCTTCCAGCTGTGCAATAGAAGGCCGTAACCCCTGTATCGGTCCTTATTCAACTGTCACCTCTGAAAGACTCACTAAATCCTTGGACCGGTCTTTTAAAACGTTGAAACATTACCCTTCCAAAAGGAAACTCCATGAATTCGGTCGGGGCTGTTCAAATGAGTGTCGGCCGATCCTTATCCATACTGGTTGTTGGAAAAGCACCGCCCTTTTGTCACCCACCTCTGAACCCGCCGGGGACATGAAACCACTCTGGGTTGCCCGACTGCGAGTAAGCCGCCAAGGGTGCCCTGGGAACAACAGAGCAGGTGAAACCTGCTCGCTTAAAGCAACGGTAAAAGCTAGTCCCTATCTGGGCGCTAAACTGCAGGTTTGGAACATACTATCTGTGTAGTCTCATGAAGTCGAGGCGATGTTTACGCTCGAAAAGGGAAGCACGAGGATCTTGGACTGCTTCTTGGTTGACGTTGGAAGGGGAGCAAACAAAATATGTTTTAGCAGCTAAGTGGGAATTTCCCACTAAACCACAATAAGCAAACATGTAAAATGTTTCCAAACAACAACCATGTGTTACCCAATGTGTGGTGATTCCGAAAAAGGTGGGCATCTTCATCTTGTCTTTCAGCATTGGACCGCTCCACTCTGGATATCGCGCTCTCAGACAGCAACGCCGGGTTTTCCACGAAAACCAACATCGCCATCTAAGCACAAAAAGACGGGCCTTCAAGGCATAGGGGTCCCTTACACTACGTATCTAGGGACTGTCAGGAGCTCAGGATTCGAATCCTTCCAATGGTCCGTTGGCACCTGCAGTCCTGAAGCCTCGTGGCTAAGTGAGGCAGGCTTCAGAAGGCCAACTGTCCACTTCCATCGCAGCGGGAACGAGGAGTTGGTTCAAACGAGCCAGAAACCCTGCCCTTGAATTTGTTCAACCGAGTCATTAGAAAGGCATATAAATTTTCCAGGAGTGCATTTCCCAACGTGGTACCTGCTTGAGGACCAAACTCCTCGGCGGGAGGGCATCTTCCTATTTCCGCAAAGTTCAATCTGGGACCCCGAAGTCAATCACCTTCACCAGCTCGTTTCGAACCAATTCCGTGACGTGTATGAATTGCACACCAGGCTCATCTGCAGAAAATCGGACAATGAAAAAGCAATGCTCAACCCTTCACAGAAGGCATGTGTAAGACCCCAAACTCACACCCCGGCGCTTCGACCGCTTAAAACCCTAGGAAACCGAGCAACATCCGAACGGCTATGTGGACCCAAAACCAAAACCTGAACGGACGCATACACACACAAATGTATCTATCTATCTCTATATATAATATTAATGTATGGTAGGCCCCCCAAAAAACACACAAACAAACATACATGTTCAGAAAAAAAAAAAAAAAAAAACGTGTACATTTATATATACATATAGATATATAGTGTGTATATATATATATATACAGATGTATGGATCAGTTGATTTGACCATTCTCCAAGTGCCCCGGCTGCGAGTATGTCGCCAATGGCGCAGACCTCAACCCGAACGAGGTCTGCATCTGGGTGCTGTACACCCGACCGAAACATAAGGAACTCCTAGGATTGCTCAAATCCCGTCTGGGTGTTTGGCGAAGCCTCTGGACATGCCCCGTTCTTGAAATCCAGCTGTCACATTTATGGTGAGCCGCAAGCAAAAAGACAACCTAGGTCCTCCAGTAGAGAGGTTAGAATAAGGGTACCCTTTTTTGTGTAGTCTGTTTTAGTAGGGGAAGCCTCCCCCAAAACAAATTAAAAGGGCACTACTGGGGGACCCAGGCTCTATTTCCCCACGGGGGGGGGGGGGGGGGGGCTGGCACAAAACTCGGCCCACATCCGGGTGCGCAGAAAACATTACTTGGTTGCTTTCTGCTCCCCTGCTAAAAGTTTAACTTTTAGTGGTTTAATGGAAAACCCATTAGTTAGCAAAAAGTTAAAGTCCTAACATCCAAGCAAGATGCACCAAAGATCATTTTGTTCTGACTCTGGTGCATATTCGGAGAAGCTGTGATTGAGGTCGTGCGGGACGTTCCCTTTAAACTCAGTTGGACACCGACCCCCACTAAACCCTAAGCTAAAAGCCTGAGGGGGCTGGGATACATTTTGAGAGACCAGGCCTTTGCACCATTGCTGTCCTTTCAGTTCAAGGAATGCTCGTGTCGACATGCGCTTGGCAACCCAATTTGTTACTTTCTGGGAAACCGTCAGGTTGGAAGCCATGCCCGGCAGTTCCAAATACTCGCGTTTGTAGCTCGTATATTTGGCAACACCTGGCCTTTCATAAAGAACATTATCCTTAGCCAGAGGTTGACATCATACCCGAACAGAGTATTTGGAGTCTGGGACATTTACCAAGCAGCACGATGTCTTGGTCCTTTTGAGGGTGGGTTCCTTCTACTCACTTCCTCGCTAGATTGGCCCAACCAAGCCTGAACAACAAAGTCTCAAAAAGATGTTTGCCCCGAGCATGATCTTCCCAAACAAACGTAGTGCACGCACTCAGGGAGTGAGTTTCTTTTTAGTTGTCCTTTGAAACCCGCAAAAAGTTCACCCAAAAGGAGGGAAGCCGGGCTTCTGCAACCCGCCTGTTCACTGCTATGTTACCGCTTGGATTGGCCCATAAATAGGCAGGGTCGCCTGTGGAATCACTGAGCCAGAGTGAAACGCAGGACGTGAGGGCGGAACCCTCTTGTGGTTGTTTTTCAAGGGAAACCAAAAGGACCACCACCATTGTTGAGGTTCAAATCCTAGAAAGGACACAACACCCCATGTGGTCTTGTGTAAAAGAATGGGAACCCACAACATGGCGGTGTTCTTTTTGCTTCGCTTTAAAGGCACCTGAAAAGTGTAACCTCAAAACAAACACACACACACACACACACACATGTTGACTTCTTTCGGTTTTGCAAACAGCAAGGCGGATTGCCCCGTAGGGAATACGGTGACATGGACAGGAAGGGGCCTGTTTAACAGGGGCAAGTAAGGTCAATCCAACAATAACTTCCAAAAGCCCAAGATATCCTCCGGAACCTGCCCTCTTTCCTTCAAACCAACCAAGAAAATAAAACCGTTTGGGCAATACAAAGGGCCTAAGAATTAGAATGTGGTTGCGGGGTACTCCATAGCGTCACATTGGACATTCTTTCAACCAGTGCCTCTTCAAAAAACAGCCCCTACACAAAACCATGGAGCTAGGAAAAACTATGAGAAGCTAGGAAAGGCTAAGAAAAGCCCAGCCAATGCTATCAAAAGCTTCGAAGAAAAAACACACACACACACATACCCGGGAGTAGAAATAATGACTCTCTTCTTGAAGACAAGCTCTTGAGGCTTGCCCCATACACTGTAGGGCAAACTTGCTGTCGTCACCGCACACACACACAGACACACAGACACACAAAGCCACAATTTACAAGCTTACAACGCGGCCCCACTGTTTTGAACAAAAAAGATAACACACAAATACAAAATGCAACTAAATACATACAAGACAATTCCACGGAATACCAGAAAATGCAAGAAAATAAAATACCGCATAATACTACAAAATACCACAACATACAACACAATACAAGAACATGGCAGAAAATACCAGGACAAGCAAAGAAATACAGACAATACCAGACAGACACATAAAATATCACAAACAAACAGAGTCTGGGAAAGCTTCTTGGGTGCAACGCAATCCTTTTACCTTCATCGAACTCGACTCTGCCCATGTTTTCCCCATACAAAATGTGCAACACACAGATTTTATGCAGCCCCACTGTCCTCACACAAAACCACAAAAACAACAACCAAAGACATGTAGCATATTGTTTTTTTCCTCAGATTGCTCTAAAGTTTCTTGCCATGCTCTCAATCCGATTTGTGTGGGATTTACGTAGCCTTAGACAGCTCTACAAAAAAGGGCCTTGTTTGAAGGGATATGCGGTTTCTGTCTGTACTTTCAAAGCATATAAAAGGGGAAATGAGTACGTACGAGTAATAGCCACAAATACTTCAGTCATGATAGTGGAAAACTATTTGTAGCTTTGCCCCTTTTTCTTGCACCCCATTTTGGCAGGGGGATAGAGACTCTTGGTGTCCCAATGAACTTTTGAGTGCGGCGCCCAGCGAAGACCGCAGGCTGAAGGCACCTGAGCGTCGGCTTTTTTTCTGGCGGAGTTCCGGTTAGTTGCCCTCTCGCCCACTAACGTGGCACGTACATCACCAAAACTAATTAATTGATACATTTGTATTTGGTGTACCAACATCACCAAAACCAGTTCATCTATAATTCACAAAAAACAACCTCAAGAAAACCACTCTTCTTTGAGAGGTCGCAGGCACTTGAGGCCGGGGGAGCTCCCAAACGGAAGCTAGCGTAGGGTGGTGCAGGCTCACATTGTCCCCCTGCGGGTTCTTAGCTCAGAATCCCCTTGTTGAAGGATTATGTCGTGTTATTCTTGCTGGGAACCCAGGATTCCCCTTAAAGGAAACGAAGGATGGCTTCTACAGGTCATTCCCTCATTCCCTCCTATCGCACCAGCAAGTAATGGGCCCATCTGATTGGCTCGTTGCCCCTGCCCATCAAGGTCATCTGTCGGGTTCTCTTTTGGTGCCCTTTTTGGGGCTGTTTTAATGGGGAACCACCGGAACAACCCTTTGCACGTCCCATTGTGAGACAATCATATATATATATACATATATTTTTATATATGGTACAGCGTTGCCAGCCCCCCCCCCCCCTCCCCCCCCAATGGTCATGGGTCAGACAAGTAACCCCCCCCCCCCTGTGGTTGTGGTCCTGTGGTTGGGTTGTGTGGTTTAGGGTTGGTTTAGAATTGGTTCAGGGTATATTTAGGGTGTATTTAGGGTTAGTTTAGGGTTGGTTCAGGGTTGATTTAGGTTGATTTATGTTGATTTAGGGTTGGTTTAGGGTTGGTTTAGGTTTAGAGGTGTACGGTTTAGGGTTTGGTTTAGGGTGTATTTAGGGTTGGTTTAGGTTTAGGGTTTACTGTTTGGGGATTGGTTTAGGGTGTATTTCGGGTCAGTTTAGGGTTAGTTTAGGGTTGGTTTATGTTGATTTAGGGTTGGTTTAGGTTTAGAGGTCTACGGTTTAGGGTTTGGTTTAGGGTTAGTTTAGGGTTGGTTTATGGTTGGTTGCGGGTTGGCTTGTCCTGGGGGTGGGGGTGCCGGGGTGTCGGGGTGCGAGTTCAGGGGGTCGGGGTGGGGGTGGGACCGTAGGTGCCAGGATCCGGGGGCTCGGGGTCTCGGGCCGGGGGGGGGGGGGTCCTGGGGGACCATACCATATGGGGGGGGGGGGGGGGTAGCAACACGGAACACGGGACCATATATACGTATTAGACATATATATATATATATGAATATATATATATATATCTGTCCTCAATCATGATCATTTCCACTATGTACACCAACGAATCGCCTTGAGAAGAACGAAACTGCACGTGGAATCACGTGGGCCGTCGCCGGATGAAGTTGCGGGCCCCAAAATTAAGGATTCCAGTGAAAAAAAAAATCTGCGTCGTTACGGGAAAACTGCGATTTTTGAGACACGGACATAGGAGTTTTGAAGCGCAAAACAAACGTCTCAAAAGGGGCCCGGTTTGGTCCCAAAGCATTGAATTGGTTCCGTTGCAAAGCTGAAAAAGATGCGCACAACGCAAAAAGCGTGGCGCGGCACAAGATTGTGGTTTGGGTGTCTGACACACTCTGATCTACTTTCGGACAGGTACACTTGTTGAGTGCTCTGAAAACTCCTGGACTGGGAGAACCGTGCCCCTCTACTCACGGGAAAATGTATAGGGAAGCTTTCCGTTCAGGGGTACGTCCCACACGTCCCACCCTTTACACACTACTGAAAAGGCAGTGATCTCTCAACCAACCTTACCCTTTTAAAACTTGCTGGTGCTCAGTGGGGAATGACCGTTCTGGGTGTTGCGAATGAATGTTTGGGGATTCCCCGAAAGGAAACCAAATCGGGGATGGTCTTTTTCGGGGTTCCCATTCGGAGAACGAACCAGGAAATTCTAGCCTGGGAACCTATGCTCCGCTTCATGGAACATGTGGTGACCGCAGCCAAAAGCCCCTCATCCCCAATTCCATTCTTTTTGTCATACCCATAAAAGGGACAATGGAAGCATAGCCCCTCCCCCTCACCCTCCTCCCCAATTCCGTTTATAAGGGGTGGGGATCCCTTGGTAAGCGGACATGCCCTTTCTAAAAATTCGACCGCGGGGTCCAAACGAGCATCACAGCACCCTGGGCAGATTCTGTGTGGCCTTCTGTTGGGCCCTTTGGATCCGCTGCCTTTGGACTCGTTTCTTTCCGCCCCTCTCGCGCCAGTTTCTTTGAGGTAAGCAATTTGATAGATGCTCCTTACTTGGACAAGCCATTTTCCATGAGCAAAACACCTCTGACGGCCATGCCTTTGGCCTTGATAGGAAACCCGCCCCAGAAAGCAAACAAAGGCGCCACCAAACTGCTTGCCCAGAGGGAGTTTGTTAGCTGCTTGCCAAAGGCAAAACCCATCCAAACAAGCCGAATCGCCAGCAAAGCTGGCATTCCTTTGTTGGGCTCAAACAACAAACGTGTTGTTTCACTTTTTGCCGAAGGAGCACGCAAACCATGCAAACCTCTCCCGAAAGCCGTGATCAATCTGGGTGCTCGGGCGGTTGCGGGGTACAGGAGCCACCGGTAAGGATCATGGCGCACGAAAACGCCAACCCCTAGACCCTGCCAGGGATGCTCGGTTGCTCCGAAATCCAGGGTAGAAATCCGAATTTGGGCTTGTCCTTTTTTGAGGGTACCCTTTTTGTGTCGGTTTAAAGGGAAACTATAGTAGCTACTTTAAGACGCACCCATTCGGTCCCTGGCAAAGGGAAACCAAGTTCAAAGGGTCTACAATTCGGCAACTGCGATGTGTTGTCTTGAGCTCGGAGCAACCCATCTTTTTTCAAAGATGAAGAAAGCAGCCATGTCAAAGAAAAACTACTGTAGGCGTCCTTGTGGACAAATGGGTGGATTCCTCTGGAACAAATGAAACCAGAGGAAACTCTCGGCTCAAGCAAACTGACCAAACAAATTGACACCTTTGACTCTGACACACGGACAATGTCAATTGGGGAACGGTTTTGTGCACATCATGTACATGGGGCCTTGTCCCCTTCCCGTGTTTGAGGGTGCTATCAAGCAAGCACAGCCACATGAAGCAACCGGACGACTCGCTTCCCAAGTGGATTGGCCACAAAAAATCTTTTTTGAGGCAGCCTCGTTTGTTTTTTGTGGTTCTGAAGGGACACCAGCAGCAAACTACCTTTGTTGAAAAGGGAGGAGGCGAACGACGCACCCATATCCAGAAAAGATCACCCCCAAAAGTCTCCAAGCTTTGGACCAGGCTCAAACACAGAACCCCATCCAAAGATTGCAATACATGCCCCCGACCGTGGAGCCCTATCCGTCGTTTCCTCATGTATATTATTGTGCAAGACCTTTGATTTGTGGAAATTGTGTATTTTCATCCTGGGAGTTGGTTGCCGTGGTTCCCTCAGGGCTTCTTCAGACGGTGCGCGTGTGACATCCCGTCTGAGCCGTGAAGGTCGCTGGAGGGCCAATTCCGTCACAAGTTAACATGAAACCTGACGTTCGGGGGTCCCTTTAAAAGGAAAATGGTCTTCCAGGACAACCCGAACGCCAGGTTCCATGCTATTTGGTGGGAGGGTACTTCCCACGGATGTCCCCTTAAACACCATGTGCGGCATAGTCAAAACTCCGTTTTTTTGGCCAATTGGGACATGGTTCCCTAAATAGACATCATTAGAATGGTCATGAAGGATACTAACTACCAGGTGGATGACCACTCCTATTAACCCAAGTACAGGAGTCTTTTGGCCATGGCACATGTGAAGGGGAATTCTGAGGAGTCACTTTAGTCCTGGCCCCAGCGCCCCTTCGTGAAAGACCTGGGTGCCTCATATGGGTGACTCCATGACTTAGAATTCTCCACCGCTGGAGCTGTAAGCGCTGGCCCCATGACTTTGAGGAGTGACTTCGAAAACCCCTACCTGTCAGAAGGCTTGGCTCTACAGGGACCAACATGAATCAGGTGGGCGGATGTTGGCAGGTCTCAACTCTCTAACATGCACCTGACTGGGGTCCTGGATTCCTCAAAAGTGGTTGGTGGAGTGTGCGCTGTGAAAAGGGGGTGTTGGGTGATATTTGATTAAACAAATAAGGCGACAGGGCACACCCCAAGGTGAAAGCAACAGCTTGTTCGCCTAGGTTCCGTACGTACTTGTGCAGGGGCGTTGGGTACCTCGACTCGACTTTGGGATATCCGCCTTGCTTGTCGCCTTTTGACTTGCAGCTTGTTCTTCTTGCTTGAGACCCTCGAACACTCCGTTTCTTTTGGCCGGGGATAGGCAGTCAAGCAGCGAGTACTTCCCAGCCTCGAGCCCGGATGCTGAGACGAGTCCGCTTGCTGATGCGAGGTTTTGGATGTGCGAATTACGCGAGGGCTCCATTTGTCGATGGCCGCAAGGCAGGCGAAAACTCCAGGGTTGATTCGGGGAAGCCCCCGGGCTCAAGCCTGGGCAAATCAAGAACGCGAAAAATCCGGCTGGAGGCAAGTCTCGTGGACAGCGCTCGGTTCCAGTCCCAAAAGTCTCCAAAAGCGCCCGCTCCGCGCCCGCGCCACATTTTTCCGCCGCGAAGGGGCGCGTGCAAGTGAGAAAAGAGCAAGGACCTGGCCTGTCTCTGTCTTCTGTTGCGTAACCGTTGCGTCCTAGACATGAACTAGATGAGTAAGCACAATTGTCCAATCGTTGTGGAAAGTGTGGCATTCCCCTTGCTACGGTTGACGATGCGTATTGGCCGGTGACTCTTTGCTCTGGAAATGAGGCCTTGATCTACTTAAGTCGCCCATGACTTCCTCTTTTGGCTCCTATTCAAGGCCACCCCAAAAGGGTCCAACTAGTCTTGAAGCATACAATCCCAGCGTCCAGTCAGTTTCTTCGATAGGAACACCCACCCCAAAAAAAGGAAAACTGGGGGGGGAATCAACGGATTGCAACTGGGGGATGCCGCGGCTTACCGCGACCCAGCTGCTTTTCATGCAGCGAGGGCTTGGCCAGCGCCAGCCTTTCACTGCCTAGCAAAAGCAGGTCTCGAACCCTGACTAATCAGTGACTCATGGGCCAAAGGGAGACATGGGCAAATGCTGGACCACGGGGAAAACCGCAGGGTCAAATGGATTCGCTTTGCAAGTGAGTCGTTGCATAGCATCAGAAGAGATAGCCTTCCAAGAAACAGAGACTCAATCAGGGACCGGAGTCTCATTTCGCCCTTGGAAATGTTTGGTCCAACATGGTGGTCTTCAGAAGAACAAAGGGTCGAATCCTAGCGTTTTAACAGTAGCACCCTCCAACTCCAATGCTTTGGCCGGAAATACCCCAGTTCATCCCGGGCATACTTCCTTCCAGCAGACATGACCCCCCTTGTTTAGTCGCTGAAATCGCTGGTGTGGATTGAGGACCAGACCCGAACCGTTTCTGAGCATTCAGTGCCACAGAAGCGGAGTAGCTGAGCAATAGTCACTTCTGGTTTCCAGTACCATCAATAACCCTTTTGCTAGGTCCTCCAGTCGAGAGGTTAGAATAAGGGCCCCCGATTTCTTTTTTCGGTTTTGTCTATTTTAGTTTCTGGAGCCCTCCCAACCAAAAAAGAAATGGGAGAGAAAGGGCGCCGCTGGAAAAAACCGAGTTCGCGAAATCCCGCAGCGGGACTCCCATCTGGTTCTCTATCCCAGTCCTGAAGGCCTTCTCACGGCTCAGCCCTAATGTCTGAGCTGTTTGACGTGGAACCCCCAGACACCACCAGAGAAACCCCCTGAAATGGGAAACTCCTTGTTACAAGTCCATGTTGACTTAGGAAGACACCATTTGATTTGGGCCCTGGGCATGCAAATAGTCATGGGAATAGGGTCATGATTCCCTCATCCATTGTTGCCAATTCTACAACTGTATCCTTGACCATCCCTAGAATCCTTAAACTCCATCAAGCTAGCACGTCTTTTGACCAAAACGCAAGAGTGTTTCAGCAAGGTTTTGTGGCGTGACCTCGACAGGGTCTCAAAACTAGGTCCCCTCCACTTCCACCTATCATGTAACCTACTATCTAGGTGCAACCTACTAGTTAAATATAGTATTTTGCCACTAGGCTTACGAAAATAGGTTTTCCTCGGGACTGCCGACTGAACATATCTCGTCTTTACATACTGTAGTATTTACATGACGGAACCAGATGGACGCGATGTGCCCTATTTCGGCAGGGAATCATGCAAATACATATCCTGGGTGAATTCTAGTGCTTCAAACCCTGAAACGGTTATGGATTGTAAGGGTCACCTCAAAAGTTGTCGGTGGACATGAGGCCTCGGCTGTCCACCCAAAGTCGGGGGCCCAGTAACATTCACACCCAAATGAGAAATAGACCAAACCGGGTGCGTAAAATCGGTCACAAGCCGCTTCCCCAGTCGCAAGCATAGTCGCTGGATTTCCTGGAAAATGGAACAAAAACCCCAATCCAAACCAGCGGAACCCATCTGTTTCCAAACAAATCAACCTAGACATAAAAGGGACACCTATGATCGCAACCCTGCCCCCAAACTTCCGCTGATCCAAGCTGCACAGAGCAGGAGGGCTTGTGAAAGTGCACGTGCTCGTGCCACCCGTCCTGCAAGGCCTCCGTAGGGCACAAAATCCAGCGGCCATTCGATCACAAAATTGGCTCAAGGAATGTTCGACTGCCATTGCCTGATGTTAATCGCCCCAACGTTCGGAACGAGCGTTGGGATCGGATGGCACTCTGCCCCCGCGAAAAGAGCAACCCTGATGTTAAGGAAAGGCAAAAACAACACAACATAGGTCAGTCCTAGCCTACCATGAAACTCAATTGCAAAGCCTCGACCGAAGAATCAACCACGCCACCCAATCCTCTGTACTGAGCCTTGGGGGACCATACGAATCCGAGGAACCCACGAAAATGAATTTCCTTCCCCACCAAAGCAAAACCCATCGACTTGACTGGTAAGGTCCCCAGGATGAATCCAAATCTAGCACAGATTGTGCTGAAGCTCTTGTTTCATCCTGCGCGCATGGTTCCGCGACAAAACTACTTAAAAGCAGCGCTGGATCTGGCCGGAGCATTTGCAGCGCGACCTTGAAGACTTCTGCTCATACTTAGCCTTTCCTGAGGGGGTTGTTGGCGCAAAATGAAAACCGAGCGAGCTTCACTATAAGAGCCGAAATATCTTTTTGGAGCTGCAGGGAGCTTTAAAACCAATCTTGGAGCGCTTAAAAGAAGTCTTTACCACAAAAAAAAGCATCAAACTATGTGCACTCTGGGTATGCATAGATGGTGTGTAGGGCGGGCGCCGGGCTTTTGCCCTTGGCACAATTCCCCAGAGGCCTGCGGATCCCGAACCAGTTGATTCCGCCGACTTTTGAATCGTGGCCTCAATGGATTCGCGTATCATTTCCAGGTTGCTTGCCAGTTGAAGAGGATGGGACTTCACTGCGTCTGAGCTTCCTTGACTTGAGGCATGAAACTACAAACAAGCTTGTTGCTTTGCCTCCAGTTTTGTCCCCTTCAAAGTGGCTTTGCCTTGTTCTCTGCACCAAAAAATACTACTCAAGGCCAAAGCTGCCACTCCCACCGGCGCCAGCACGAAACGCCGCACCGCTGATGCGGGACTTGCCATTAACAGGGGGCGCTTTCGCGCACACCGAGCCACTTGGCTACGCTCGCATGCCAAGCAGCCGAATCGCCAAAGCAACGACATGAATGGGCTGTTCTCAGATGCCCCGCTTAACTTAGTTAGTGGGTTAAACGGAAATCCCCACCACACAGTAAAAGGCTAAAAAGCTAAGGGGATGGCTGGGAGCCATCAAAATGAATCTAGGTCACAATCAAGGCTACTTAAACTTAAAACAGTCGACCAACAAATGTCTCTTCGTGCCTAGACGTTGATAAACACCTCGTCACCCATGTTCATCCTTACGTTAAGAAAGCAACGTTCATCGCCTCAAAGACATACCCAAAAAGAGTCGGATGCCTTAGGGGGTGCCTTTCACATGATTAGAGTTAGGCCCAGTTATAGAATGTATAGTTTATTGTTTGCTTCACATGATGGAGTCACTGGTAAAATGGTAAAATGTATCCTAAGTCTACCCCAGTTCAAAGGCTAATCCTGCTGGAAGCCCTTCTGGCCGCCAGATTTGCCAGGAAACTTCGGCCATTGAGTGACTGAGTGAGGGCGCAAGAACCTCCAAGAATCCCGACTCAGAGACTAGGCTTAGGCTGGTTCCATGGCGCAAGTTCAACACGACCCAACAAGGTGCCCTTGGACCCGTACAAACCCCTGCTGTTACTTGGTTGACGTTGGGAGGGGAGCAAAAATTGAAAAAACAATAAAACAAAAAAACAAAAACATGGCAGTTAAGTGGTTGGATTTCAACCACTACACCACAACAAGAAAAAATGTTTAAAAAAATGCTTCCTAGCAACAACCATGAGTTTAGGCTGCTTCCGCCACAGCCTCCAACATGGGAGAAATGATGCCACTGAATAACTGCAAGGAACCCCCACATCGCCGGGCTGCGAGCGGTGGTCACACATGCGCCATGGTCAAAACTGCTTGTGCGGTTGTTAGTTGGGGAACCTTTGGTGAACCATTTGGAAGGGTCTCCCATAAAACTCCATGCCCGCGAATATCATGATCCATTCAAAGGTTGTCTAGATTCTCTATTCAGAGCTGTAACCACAAGCAAAGGGGGGCCTTTGACCATGGCACACATCAGCACGCAGCGGTCGCTCACAGGTCCAGCGTGCCATACCTCGATGCACGCTCTGCCCACAAAGGTCAAATGGAACCGTACGAACCCCTGCTACTATCTCTTAGCTATTGCCGTGTGCTCGTAGCTATCTGCCAGTCAACTGTTCGTATGCCGGAAGTATTTGCAAAACTTTGATGAAACCCTAGACAAACGGTTACCATGCCATCCACAGACATGGCCATGGGTCAAAATCCCGTACCCCCAGTGAACATCCCAATCCCTACCCAAAATGGGTGGTGCTACCCCAAAATGGGATCCCGTTGGTTTTGACCAGCCACATGGAACCTCACAGGAGCATTCCTTTCTGACAAAAACCTTCTGGGTTCCAGGTTGAGGGTAATCAACCAATCGCTTTGATTTCCCACGAGCGACAAACCCAGCACCTTTCGTGGCACGGAAAATTCCGGGGCTTTTAGACAAGGACCAAAGGGATCACGGAACCTCCATTTGCTGAAGTCCCCTTCAGTGATAGATTCCCTTCAAACCCAACAGGAGAAAATAACAAAATATACCGTAGCAAAAACGGGAGGGACCAGGGCTCCAAACGCCCCCCAAAGGAGTTCTGGGAAGTCGACCGGAAAAAAAAATATCAGATGAGCGCCCTTCGGAGATCAGTCAGCTCCCTATGGATTCTTTGAGGTAGTTTCTGGTTGTTTGAGTTGGGTTACTTAGGATCATATATATATATATATATGTATGCGTGTATAATCACTATAGCGATCATTTTTCGGCTTTTTTGGAGGGTTATCTGAGCTGATTTAGGGTTACTGAGGGTTGACTATCTAGAGAAATTCAGGGCTATTTAGCTTGGCTGCTGTTGACCCCTCTGTAACAAGTTTCACTATCTGTCCAGTGGAACATCCGACCTATTCCCAAAAAGCTAAAGTCCAAAGAACCACCCAAATAGCCATAAAGTTCGGGAAATCCTCGACATTCACCGAGCCGAGTCTTCCAAAGGCCAAGGGCCCAGGGGGGGGTCAGGTGCTCTCGGCGCCTCAAAGGTTGGAGAAATGGAATGCCCAGCCCATAGCCCATAGCTTTCGAGTTCGTGTCCCTCCAAAACTGAGTTGATCACCTGCAAAAAGGGTTCATGAGGGAAATGTCATGACGCTGGAGCACGAAAGAATGATTCCTCACTGTTCATTGGCTAAGAAGGGCAACTCGTCAAGGGTGGGCCATCCTGGTTCAGTCACAAGTCCTTAAACAGATACAAACATGGGCTGGTCTGTGAGTCGTCGGGATGCCCTGTTGGTTGTCAGGTGCCTGTTGGACGCGCTAAATTAGGATTTGTTGTTCCCCCGATTGACTTCTACATGATCAACGACCAAATTGCATACAACCCGGCGACGGGAAGCTTCCTGCGACTAGTTGCCGGTTGTCCAGTTTCTTCGGCGAATGTTTTGACATCAAGCATACACCAACCAGTGTTTGGAGCCCGATTCTTGGAAACGCCCATGATGCTGCTACTGTTGTTGCTGCTGTTATAGTTCTCTTTGTGCTTTGTTCCTCAATCCTCCGCATTCCAGTTGTCAATGTGCAGCGGTCTCATGAGAACCCCAATTCGCAACTTTGGGACATACCCAATATACACCCCAGCAACTCATACGGGCCCGCGAACCCCTAAACCGCAACCCGAAATCGGGGTCAAGGCAACCACTCTACTTAAAATGGGAGGGCATTACCCAAAACTCAGGGGTTATGACCCTATCGTCTAGGGGTCATGGAGACTCTAGGTATGAAACAAAAAACAGCCCCGATCCCGGAGAATCAGCTTGGGTGCGGCTCCCAGATGTTGGCTTTGGAAAATGGGACGCCCCTCAAGCAGTGCATCTGCTTTGAGGGAAATCAACTAGCTCTTGCCTTTAACTAAAGATGACTTGTGCGTTATAGTCCATACAAGTTGGCACTCACACTTTATAGGTCCCCATTGCGGGAGCTTTGGCATACTCGGAGAGGCAGGTGGGTTGTCCCAGGGTTGCGTCCAAGCGACACGAGAAGATCAGTTGAGCAGCGCCAAACCCATTGACTTTGAGTTTATCAACGTGGCGTATAAGCATGACTATCACCCCCGGAAACTAGGAAGAGCAACCTAAGACAGAAGCTCCCAAAAGGTAAATGGAGTTCAGTCTAACCGTGCTGTCCTCAAATCCCCAACAGTGTGAACTTTTCGCGGGTCAAATGAAAACTAAAACTACCACTGCGCCCTAAAAACCGGCTGGCGGAGACCCGCCGAGTTCAGTTGGACCCACCTTCGCCCGGGCACATCCGCGCCGAGCGCGCGGTCGCGCTCGCGGCGACCCCGTCGGCGTCCCGCGAGTCGCGGGCGGAAGAAGCGTCCCTGGGCCAAGACCACGGGGAGGTCATCTCCGCCGCAGCCTCAAAAACGACGCGCCACTTGCGACGCGCGTCTTGGGTTTGCCTCAAGGGGAAACTCCAGGAGGTGGGTTTTCAGTTGGTTTCCCAAAAACGACCAAGCCGCAATGGGTACACTCAACAAGATATCTCAAGAAAAGAAAATGCCAAGCCCTGATATGGGGCAACAAAATACACACATGAGTCTCCTGTTGACTAAATTTCGTTGAAAGGACCCCCACCTTCCGTATTTCTTGGAACGGATTGCGACCCGCAAGTGGCAACTGTCGTAATCAGGTGGCATCCTTTTTGGGCAAAAGGAAAGAGGGGAAGAGGAGAGTCGGGTCTGGCAATCTCCCCTAAACCCTCCTTGCCCCAAGAATTAAACTGAAAAGAGGGGATCTTGCACTTCCAGACCTTGGCATCGCCACTTCCAGAAATGGGATTGCCCCCTCCGTAGATGCTTGTTGCTTCTTTTTGTCGTGTCTTGGTCACCCCCTTGCCCCGCCACATGCTTCTTACCTAGTTTTCTGTCAAACTTGGCTCAGCTGGTCCGTTTGGAAAACAATGGATGGTTTTTCCTGGTACATGGTTTCAAAAAACCATCCAAACCAGTGGACTACATTTACTGTTCATCAAACCTAAAAATCAGACAACTATGAGCCTAAAACTGGGCTCAAGACATCCGAGTGCATCCCGTGGGATCCGTTGAAACATGGAGTTGGAGCTCTGCCCGGGCATCCCGGCCAGCTGTTGGCTGAAAGACCTCCGCTGGAGCCCGGCTCGCCTAAGGGAAGCCAAGAAACCCCCCAAGCTAGCGTGAATCCCTGACACTGGTCAGACGCAGCCCTCCCCCTAAAAGCCACACCCCCCAATAATGTTGAAAGGGAGTGACAATTGACCGTCCAACGCCTGCCACACAGATTGCACTTGCTAGCCAGCCCGAGCCGCGGTGGACTGGATAGCGCGTTTCGAACACGGGTAGGAAGCGTACACTTTCCTTTCACTGAAAGGCAGCAAAAATGAACATGTGACAGTTGCTCGCATGAAGAAGTCAGACGAACAAATGGACAAACAAATGGGTTGACCTTCAAGGCAGAAACCGCTGTTCAGTGTCCATTGAAAAACGCACCTGCCATAACGCGCTGGCCAGACAAAACCTGCGCTGCTTGAAGGTCAGAACAATTGCAGCCCTCCTCCTAGACGCAAACATTTTTTATTTCGACCGGGGTTGACCGGATAGCGTCTTTCGAGAACGGGAAGGAAGCATAATTTTTGTTAAACCAGTGTCTGACTGGAGTGCGCCTCATTTCTTGGAGCCGCATTTGGCCGTAGACACAAACAAAATAACAGCCGGACAGACGGACAAACGGACAGCCGGACAGCCGGACAGACGGACAAACAGACTGAAGACTGACAATCTGACAGGCTGACTGACTGACAGACTTTCAGACAGACAGACTGACAGACTGACAGACAAACACACAAGCAAATAACAAGCAAACAAACAAACAAACAAACAAACAAACAAACAAACAAGTTACGCTACGTTACGTTACATTACGTTACGTTACGTTTACGTTACGTTACGTTGAGACATTTGCTTGGCTAACCAAGACTGCAACCACACAGGCACCAACAACTCATTCCAACCGCGCGCGAGGCCTTGAGCATTGCTGGCTGATGCGACGGCAAAGAAACTCAGGCAACCAAGGCAGCGTTGACCCCTAACCAGAAGCGGCCTCAGCTGCTACCGAACTTACGCCGCCTGTTTGGTGGGGATTCCTTTGATTGCAAGGACACATCTGTAGCTCCAAGATCCAGCTACAACTAGGGTACGGCGCCTCAAGGCGCCTTTGTGTGGTGAAGGATATGGCGCGCTCTTGCTGGTTGGGATGCTTGCTTGCACGACTCTGCCAAAGCCTTACAGATCTGGTTTAGTTCGGCAAGTTCAACCAACCTGTGCCACCTCGGCAAAATCTTGTAAAACGTATCCCCGCCCTTCCGTGTGCCGCAGGTCGGATGTGACTTAAAAACCAAAGCCCCGAACATGTCGGGTGGGGAACAAACAAAGAAAGAAACAAACACACACCCCAACAAACCCACAAACCCACAGACCAAGCAAAGAAACAATTGTTGAACAGGTCGAACTGTAAACTGCGCTCAAATAGCTAGCCGGCCCAACAGCCAAGCCCAAGCTGCGGCAAATTGCCTGGCAGCCAACATAGCAGGCAAGGTAGGACGTCAAGCCAAGCAAGCGTTGTGTGACAATGTATCCATACCAATAAGTATACCAATAAGTATCTCATCACAAGAACCAACAGACTGGAAAGCAAATTGAACTGCCACCCACGTAAAGGACCCCCTTGAAAAGCACGCTCTGAGTGAATTGGCCCAAACAAAGGCTGAGCTTCTTGTTTGCCACTTGTGTAGTTTCAAAAGTTACACGGTCGAAGAACTCGAGCGAGTACTGGACACATAGGTTGTGGGATTGTAGGTGTCGAAACAAGGCCCCTTTTGGACCCCGCCGCAGAAGCCGCCTGCCCTGGTCTTGAAGGGGATACCAAACAATCTTGACAACCTCCCAAGCAAGTGTGCGTGTGTCCCGCCCAAGAAGCCTTATGCCGCTCTTGAGGGGGATACCAAATCATCTTGACAACCTCCCAAGATAAGTGCGTGCGTGTGTGTGTGTGTGTGTGGGTGTGTTTTCGAGGTTCGCCTTCTTGAGGCTTGGAAGGGAAATCGAAGTCTGGGACCCAGGTCTCTGCAGCCGGAGGGCCAAAGCGCCGCTTTCAGCCACGCAGAGTTCTGCGTGTAGTAGGCGAGCAATGCCAAGACGGCCGCCCAGCCCAGCCTACTGAAGATCCGTTGCGTGACCCGAGGATTTGTGGAGAACCCGCAGAAAGAGAAAGAGGTGCTGTGTATAATATAATATATACATATATATATATATATATTATCATCATCTGATAAAGATTGTGATAATTCAACTGGTGCAACACTACTTGATACTGTTGGGAAAATATTATTATTATTATTATTATTATTATTATTATTATTATTATTATTATTATTATTATTATTATTATTATTATTATTATTATTATTGGAATCTGAACACCTGAAGGAAAACCCCAGGCAGCTTTAGAACCAGGCGGCTACTTCTAGTGAGAGAACCCGCCCTTCCAGGAGCCTCCCCATCGAAGGAACTAGTGTGGAGGGACAAAATCCTGCAGTTGGGATGGATGAAGTGGTGCAGGATTCTGTCCATCCACAGTATGGAGCATGGGTGTTCGAGGTATGGATGCTTATATTACCAATAACAGGCGGTATATAAGTCCGTTACGTGGAATATAAGCGCCATACCTCCGAAACCCGAACGTGAACATGTCCTTGAGACGTGGTTTGAAGCCCTAACGGCCTCGCGGCCTTGAAACGATGTCAACAGCTGCCACTGGCTCGTGTTCCCCTACTTGAGGCGGGCATGAGCTGGCAAGTGGTTGTAAACATGCTTGTGACCCACTTCTGTCTATTACATGCCCAGTGAACCTCGACATGGAAAAGTCCAACCACTCGGCTGTCCTGCCACTGCAACGCTCCCTCATTAATGGAGGCTTTGCCATGCACCAGGTTGACAACAAGAACATGGTTGGTCTCCCTACTACCGTGCTCAACATCTGCCTTTGTTTGTTTGGTTGTTTGCTTGTTGCTTTGCTTCTTTGTTAATTTGTTTGCTTGCTTGTTTCTGCGCTCGCTTGTTGCTTTGCTTTCGCGCTTCTTTGGCTCTTTGTTTGCTTCCGCTGCCGCTCTCGCTGGGCCGAGGCGGCCAAGGCGGCCGAGGTGGCCGAGGCGCAGTCGCGAGGTGAAGATGCCGCCGCCGTTCGGCGGCGAAGCGGGCAGGGCGAGAAGCCTTGAGGCAACGAAGGGGGAAGGAGAATTGGAATGACCCCGAGAAAAACACCAGCCATCCGAGTTGGTATCCTTTACGGGGGCAACTGGGTTCAACTTTTGTTTCTTGCTGACTCCATAGGCAGGGCATCAGAATTGGAATAACCCCAAGAAAAACCATCCCGAATTTGGTTTCGTTAAGGGAAATCTCAATCGGTGCCTTCCCAAAACCCGGACTCGGTCATTCCACCAGCAAGGTATGTCCATTTGAAGTGCAACCTCAACACATACCTAAGTGGGGTATCTCCATTTGGGCCATTCAATTCAGGTGAGAACTGCAATTCGTCCATGTCCTAAACTGGTTCTAGTTTCTTGGTAGGTGAAACCACAAGGGTGTCAAACACCATGCTGAGACTGTGCTGAACCCGTGGATTCATAGAGAAGGTTGACTAACCTGGGTCGACGTTCTCCTTCCCCCCGACCCTCCCTCCCTTCCTCCCTTCCTCCCCCCACCCTCCCCTTCCCCCCCCCCCCCACCCAAAGGCTCCAACCCCACCCCTTCCGCGAGCGGCGCTTCCGCCCTTCCGGCGCTGGGCAGTGGCAGCGGCAGCTCCTCGTTGGGCGCCGGCCACGCCCGCGGCGGCGCCCTGGGATGGGCCAAAAGGGGACCCCCCCAAAAAAAGAACAACACCATGCACAACAAAAACAGAATAGCGCAACCGGGGCTCCTATGGGCTTCCCGAAGCACCTTATATATATGTATATATATATGTGTGTGTATGCGTACACACATATAAATATAAATGCATATATATATATATATGTATATATATATGTGTGTATATGTACATGTAGATGTAGATGTAGATGTAGATGTATGTGTATATATATATATATGTATATACATATATAGTAGTGTCCGGACATCGACGGGATATGATGTTGTGTAAATGTATGAATACAATCATTGCGCTTACTATTGTTACGTGTTGGTTTTGTTATGGTTTGATTTACTATTGCTATTATCGTTATTGCTGTTTATTAGTCATTGTCTGCATTACTAATAATCATGATGGCACATTTCGAATTATCAACTATTATCATTTATATCATTGTTATGCAAGACTATGAGAGCCAGGCAACCAACATATATGTAGCATAGTGTTCAAACCAAGGGACGAACATGGATGAACTTAAATCAACATTCTGCCATCCCAACCAAATGTCCGATGAACTTCCCATGGGTCCAACCTGAGAAACATCAGGGGTCACCGGAAGTTGATCCATTTGACCGAAACGGAAATGGCAAACCAAACCAACCAAAAACTCTGTCCCGACCACCAAAAACCCGAAGTGAAACCTTCCCAACCCCAAAAAAAAGGGTTCGGCGTCCCATTCTTGCCTTGGCCCAACCAGGAGCCCCAGTTTCGGCATCCCATTTTTTGTCCCGAAAAGTAAATATTTTTGGCTTCCCTCTCCCCTCCTCCCCTCCCCTCCTCCTCCCCTCCCCTCCCCCTCCCCGACTCCTCCCCTCCCCCTCCCCCTCTCGGACTTCCCAGGCGCGCCGGGCTCGCCGCCCCGGCGGTTTCCCCCGCCCAGGGCCGGCCAGAGCCTAAGGCGTCCAGCGCCAGCCAGACCTCCCCAGCCTCGCCTGAGCTGTGGGGGGACGCTCCGGTGGGTTTGGGCGCCAAAAACGGTGTCCCTTCAAAGGCTCCCTCTGGTTCAAAGGTTGATCAATTTGCTGGCCCTGGGCTGCCCGTTGTTGGATCCCCTGCGAACAGTGACTAACTTTTAGTGGATTAAATTCGGACACCACCACTGAACACTAAAGGGCTAAAAAGCTAAGGAACCGGATGGCTGGGAGCCACCAAGCCTTGAAAGGCTCCCTCTGGGTCATTCAAAGGTTGATCAATTGACTGGACTTGGAGAAGCCAAAAGGGAATGTCTGGCTAGCCAAGTACATAAGCTTCAGGAACTCAGGAAGTGAGCATTAAAACATGGCTGGAAGTTGCGGGAAAGGAAACAGGGCACAATTGAGAAAATGGGGAAAAAGATCACCAAACTCGGTCAGCACCTTGTGGAACACCCAGGAATCGGGTTGCAGGCCCCTTTTGGATTGCAGACAAACCAACAAACCAACCAACCAAACCAAACCAAACCAAACCAAACCAAACCAAACCAAACCCACAACCCGCCCACCTAACAAAGAAACAAGTAAACCAAAACCAAACCCCGGCCATCACCAGGTCGCCTCCTTCGAAGCGCAGCGGCAAGGCCCAGATCCGGCTGAAGCCATCTTGCGCCTCGATCGAACACCCCTCAAGGAAGCACTCGACCCAAACCACCCGCGCCCCAAACCAACAAAATGGGTGTCTTTTTCTACTATTTGGACAACCCCAAAATGGGTGTGCCGTTTTGTTGGATGTCTCCCCCACCAAAAAAAGGGGGGTTATTTTTTGAAATTCCCCTTACAACCGCAAAAAAGGGGGGCCGTGACACCTTTGCAGACCCCTGGGCCCGATAGAACTCATAGCCCCAGCAACCATTGAAGAATTAATCCTTCAGACGAACAAGCGGGAACCTTCTTGGCATTTCTTGGCCCAGGCCCGAAATATTGCAGACATAGGTGTCCTTCGCCATCTATCTTTTTTGCAAAAACAACCAAAAAGGACACCTACAGTATGATTGCAGGCTTGTGTGTCGGTTGTGGGGTCCACCTCTGACAGACCGGCGATCTGTATGGGCTGATGGGTTCTCAACATCACCGCCAGACCGGCGGGTGGGTGACATCTAGGGAAGCACGGGCACCCAAACAGCGCCTTTTCTTCTTGGTGAACTGCCTGGCTATTTCTGAAAAACAAATTGAGAAATTATTGATTGTGTGAACCTCCTTTTCTACTGTGGATGGACCAAATCCTGCACCACCTAAGAAACCCTGGAATGATGATTCCCCTGTAACTACCAACAAACAATGGTTTCCAATACTTTGAAAGTGGTGCAGGATTTAGTCCATCGAATCCACAGTATGTCTGAAATTGAGGACCCAAACACATGCGCGGCTTCCTTTTGGCATATATCAGCTGAGACAGCAAGGAGCCGGCAAGGAAGTCGCGATCCACAATGCCGTCTACGGAAACTGTTCAATAAGCTAAAGGCCAACGGCCCCAACCAAGGAGCAATCCTTCCCCTGCCATGGGGATGCAAGGACCGTTTGAAGGACAAATGCGCGCCGCAGGTTGCAGCTGAAAAGATGAACACAGGTTGATTGTGGCAAAAGGAGACCCTTCCCTTTTCAAACCTCCAAAAGTGACATTTTCCCACCCAGTAGATTTAAAAGACGCCAAGTGAATTGAAACAATGGAGCAACCCAAATGGGCGCCTATGGAAGAGATCGCCATCACAGCCCCCCAAATCTGGCAGGCGCCAGGGGTCACTGAAGCTCTTGAACAGTGGCAGGCGTACTGGTAGGTTCCAACCGATTTGCCACTGGCTTTCCGCTTGGTTTCCCTTTGATTCCACGCAAAAAGGGGCACCGACTCAAAAACGACATACCCGGCTGGGGATAGAAATCCACGTTTTGCCCTGCTGTTGTGCGTGCGTGTGTGTGAAACCTGGTTTTAAAGGGAATCTGAAGAAAAAGCCACCCATTGCCTGTGGGTCTAAATCAGAGGGGACCCTCAGGACGAAGCCAGCGAGCCGACCCGTTCTGCTGTCGACTTCCCCGTTTTATGCCCATGAGCGAGTTCTGGGCAAAACAAATCACGGGCTCCTTTTGGTTTTACGAAAGCACAAGGGGTGGGCCAATTTCAGGAACCCCATCTCAGACGCTGTCCTCACAGGCTTGAAATGTCCCCCCTTTTCTGGGCCTCCCAACTGGTCGTTTTTGAGTTGCTAGTTCTTTTTTGGTGAAACTCACAGGGACACCAAGAGGAAAACCACCCTTTTTGCGGGGGCGTCCCCGCAAAAACAATACAAAAAAAGACGGGGTTGACCTGCCGTCTTGCAGATTTCAGCTGGGCCAACGGGCTGGCACCAAGCGCCCCTCAGCCCGCGCCAGGCTTTGGGACGGCCAGGCCAGCGTCAGCGCGCCTGGACAGTTGCACCCCACACTGTCCGAACATCATGTGTTTTGCGCTGTTTGTTTGACCTGTGAGGTTTTTTTTTGCTTTTTTTTTCCGGGTTTTGTTGACCTGGTCCCCTATCCACGAAACTCCCCCCGGAAAAGTGAGGCGAAAGTGAGGGACGGAGGAGTCTTGCCAGGGGTCCGACTAAGAGTCTTCCCGCTAGTGGATCCCTGGTTCCTTACAGAACCTTTGAAACACTGTATGGCCCAGCGGTGTCATGCTTTGCTCTTGGAGCCAGGAAGCAAGCACTTGAAAGCCACTGAACATGTTCCCAAAGGGTGGGCAACCCCTGGGTTCCCCTTCCACCAACATGAAACCTGACTGGGAGGGTTCCAACTGACTGGGAAGGTGTATACTAGTACATGGAATCACTCGATTTGGTGGGGTTCTGTGTGTTTGAGGTGTCATTGAACTTGGTTTGAGAGCACAAACCGGAGCCAGGTTTGATCCTTTCGGAGACAATATGTACATACTATAGTTATATATGCATATATATATATAAATGTGTATATGGTCACCCCTATATATTTATAAATAATGTGTATGTGTGCACATGCGTCCCCGTTTGTGTGGCAGCTTGACATGAGGTGATCTGGGTGACCATTGGCAGATCGACCGGTGGCAAACAGCATGTTGAAGATAGAGTTGTAAGCCCAAAAAAGGTGGAGCGCCAATTCTATGTACATACATACATATATACATGTATATATATATATCTAGTGCGCGCACTATATATATGAAAACATATGCGCACATATCTACATGCCTCAACAGACCCCAAAGCGCTCCCCCGCGCGCGTCTCTCGCATCACCGCCTGCCGCCTGCGCCGCCGCCGCGGGGGGCAGGTTCCCCAGGCTGGGCTCGCTGGAGAGGTCCAGCGCCCCGCTGGCCGTGGAGACCTGCAGCACCAGATCCGCGCCCGGCCTGGCATCGACGATGGCCGAGATGAGAGCGCCACGAAGGCTGAGACGGAGACGAGAGCGCGACGAAGGCTGCGAAGAAACCCAGGTGCCACGAAGGCTAAACCCTAAACCCTAAACCGTAAACCGTAAACCTGTTCAGTACATTCAAAACTCGGAAAATGGAAAATCTTTGCACTACATTCTCCTCAAAGCGTGTGAAAACCAACAGGGGGAACTAACAACTGGCAGAGGACGGCTGCAGAGGACGGCCACGAGAAAAATGTGTTTGGCCTCCGACCCTTTTCACACATGGAACCTTGCAGAGTGCACCTCTTTTCCAGAATTGACCTAAGAGGGTGCAAGGGGATTTACCCTCCCACCCTTTTCACATGGAACCTGATGTTCGGAGAAACCGTTTTGAGAAGGGAGGATAAAGAGGGGGTATGTCAGTTAGGATAGGCCATGCGCAACTTTTTTCGGACTCAAAAGTCTAGGGTCCACCCTAGGTGTTTTTGCATTTTTTGAATAAGCGCCTCAAAACAGCCATTTTAAAACATTTTTTGAAACAGTCTAAACACATTTTGATAAATATATATTTTTTATTACAGCATACGAAAACGAAAAATAAATTATTTTTTGAAAAAATCAATACACCTAAACATTTTTATTTTCAAAAACACACATTTTCCAAAATATTTTAGAAAATATATTTTTTTCAAAAGAGATAAATATATATAGCATCTTAAGAAGAATTATTCAATAAGAAACAACATTTTCAATAATTCAATGAGAAGACAAATAATTAATCATTTTTCAAAATTTGGATATTCCGGAGTTGCGCATGGCCCGTCTTGTAGGATTTTATCTTCAATATATAAAACGCTATACTTACATTATAATTATAACATATAAGGGTATAAATGTTATAATCATAGTATGATTATAATTTTAGTTCAGGATAACTATTTAATTGATATATCTTACCTCTTTCATACATCATTTTAAAAATAATATCAATATCTCTCACTATATTTTTAACATTAAACTGTTCACTTTCAATATATGATTTAATGATTTTTTTTTACATCAAACCCTTCTTTTCTTTGATACTCCAACATCCATAATATGCAGTCAATCATTTCATACTTTTTCTTACTGATTTTCATAAATGCTCTAACATAATCATAAGGTGGTATTTTATACACAGTTAAAAATATCAAAATGTCATCTTCAACATTTCTTTCATTAAACCTTTTAATATCCAAATTACAATCGATTGCTTCTTGGTAATATCTCCAATTTCTACAAATTTTACATAAAGTTTCTTTACCCAAAGAATAATCAATAATATTATTAACTATTCCATTAGGTAAATCTAATTTATATAATTCCATATTTTCCTTTTTGAAGTGGCAACAGTTGTAGCATTTCTTATTGATATAATTATTGATTTCGGTTTCCACCATTTCTATTATAATATATATAGTTTTTATTTCTTTAAATACTTTTTGTACAAGAAATATTAAAATATTATTTAAATTATTATCATTTACAACTACAATTGCATCTAACACAGTAAGGAATAATATTATTCAGTTCGTGTGACAACTCGTTTGATTTACGTTGCGCTGTCAGATTGTCATTATATTACCGTTTTTAATATCCATAGAAAAACCGCATCCGCAGTAATTACATTGATTAGTGATATTATTTAAAAACCATTGCGCATTTACATAACCTTCTTTAGGTATTGTTCTTTTGGCTTTCCTGTCTTGTTCTTTGTAATTTAATATTTTCCTTTCAAAATAACTCATAATACATTTTTGATTAAATACATCATCAATATCTTTCGTATATTTATAAAATTTGACTTTGTTTAAATCTCTACACCTTGTAATTGCAGTCCATATCCATTCTGGATAATTCTTTACCAAAAAATGGTTATAATCAAAAATTGTTATGGTATCATCAATGCTACTGCCTTGGGCAGAATGACAAGTCGAGCAATATGCAAATATAAAATTACTTCTTATTTTATCAACTGGCAAAGACTGTAGAATTTCAGTTTTAACATTTTTCAACGTAAATATTCCATCGCTTCCAATATGAACAATCTTATATTTGAAATTTACATTAAAAACTGATGTTTTAGTTGTTGTATATTCTCTACAAATTAAAAATTATCCTACTTCATATTCATCTTTTCTATTTTCTAATTTTCTAATTTCATTTGATACATTTTTACAAGTTGTATTTAAAAATGCTATGTTGTTGATTGATTTGCTTATGTCAGTTGTATATTCAAAGTATTGTTCAATAACTTTCATAATAGGTAATTTATTTTCAAAAATATCAATTTTAATATTTCTTAGTTTATCTTTATCTTCCTGTGTGTTAATTCGCTTACATTCTTTTAACAAAATATTATATTCAAAAATGTTATCTATAATGTTATCAGTATATACTTCATAGTCTCGAGTATTTGTTATCTCTTGAACTGGTTTTAACTGCTTGGTGTCTCCTGTTGCTATTATAATTTTGTTGTGCTTATTCTGTTCTACAAATTGTTTTATTCTCCAATATATATTTAAATTACTAAAATAAACTTCGTCAAATACTATAACATCAAAATCTGTAAAATCAAATGGTTCTAATTTAGCATCTCCATAATTAATACCGAAAAATTTATTTATTGTCATTGCTTCGCCTTCGAATGCCTGTAATAGTTTATTAGTAGGACAAATAAAAATTACATTATAATTTTTATCAACCATTTTTTGACATATATATGATTTTCCCGTGCCCGGTAGTGCTCCACGAACCATAATAGGATTATTTTGTTCAATAATTTCTATAATGTTATCAGTGTCATATTCATCTACAATATCAATAGTTTTACTTTCATAAACTGGTATTTGTATTAATTCGTGTTGTGTAATTTCATAATCTACAGTAGGAAATTTAATATATTCGTCATTTGAAACTCGCCAACCTCCTATTTCATTATGAAAGATTAAAAGCTCTCTTGCTTTTGTTATATCCGAACGCTGTATTACAAATGCATCTGTTTTGACGCTAAATATATTAATACCATTTTGATGTAATTTAGAATAATCTTGATACATTCTAAAATTATGGTATTGAAGCAGTAGCTCTTTTACATACCTAAAACCATTCCTTAAGCGCGATGTATCCGTTAAATTAAGTATATAATATGACGCCTGTTCTTCTTCTGCTGTATATAGTTCTTCATCTACTGTAATTTGTTCTGTCGTGAAATGTGTTAATTTATGTATTTTACCTCCATACTCTGCCTGATAGTTTAAAGCTTCCTTAAGATTTTTAAACACTGTGCTCTTCTGGTCAGTTGCTCCCCCTTTTTCTAAAAGTCCATAATTAACATTTGCGACCAGTTTTTTTATACATTTATCTTCCTCATTGTCTTCGCTAATGTTTGTGTTCCAAAGTTCATTAACAATATTTTTATGTTCAACTTTGTGAATAAATGAATGTTGTTTAAAGTATAAAATATTGATTCGTTCTCTTGTCATGTTATCTAGGTGTTTCAAAAATACACCATATATTAAGCAATATGTTTTATTAAATAGCATTATTCCTGTCCGTTTTAGTATAGTAGTTTTCTTTTCTATATAATATAACGTTAAGTCGTGTAGGTCATAAATATCAGTTGTATCATCAAACGCTCGCCAAATGTCGAATTGATTAAATACTGGTATTTCTGATATAGTAATAAACGCATGAGTAAATGCTTTTGATATATCGATTTCGATTTCATTTTTGATATCGCCCCTATCGCACAATAAGCCAGATGGAACAACTGTTCTGGCTTCGTCTAAAATTTGAATATCAATGTCATTATAAAACGATTTATGAGATAAGTTAAACAATGACTTATTAAACTTAAACATTGCTTTATTCATATTGTTATATGTGGTTTCATCACATACTGCAATACATCCATCTGCAGAAGTTTTTATTAAATGTTGTGTTTTTATTATATATATTGTTTTGTTAAATTTTATTTTTATTTCTGATATAATACCAGCTTGAAATCTAATTCTTGGTTCGTAGCCACTATTAACTAGATTGAAAAATAATTCAGATAACTTATTGTCTTCGGATACTAAATATATCTCTTTTGTTTTTTCATCAACTTTGATATTTAGTATATCGTCAATATTTTTTTTATCATTTTATAAAGCGGTGGTTCCTCTCTTTCATTAATATAGTAGTCGGTTGAAGCTTTGACAGTTGGTATCTTGGTTATTAATTGTTTCTGTTGAATGCTTTTTAAGTCGTGATTTAGTGCGTAAATATGACTGTGTTTGACCATTGCATAAAATGGTTTGATGTGCCTACTATTTATATCGGGGTCGCATTTATAAATTAATTTATTGCAACAATCATAAATTCTGCATGGAATTTTAAACTGTTTAAATACAGCCTCCATCTCGTGAATGGTTGCCCCCGTTTCACTAAAGTTATCTCTACCTATAATTTCAATTACTCTCTCTCTAGTTAGTCTATTACGGGTCCTTTCGTTCATAATTGTGTCACTGTAAAAATCAGTTAATGCATTAATCCAGCATTCGTTTTCAATATAATTACCCTTGTTAATTGCCTTATGTATGGTGTCTTCGTTCATCCTTAAAGGTGTATGTATATACCTATTAAAAATTGAAACATTAGTAGCATCCCTTAAATTTTCTGTAAGAATGTCAAATTGTTCGCCGTCTTTATTTACCATATCTACTGAGAATATTTTAATACATTCTATATCGTTGTAATGTTACGTAATAGAATCATAATTGTTTTTAAAATCTTTGTCGGTTTGTAATAGTTTTAGTGTATCAACAAACTCATCGTTTACTGTGTCACCTATTAGTCTATATTCTGTATTGGGGTCGCCTATCATTTTAAATATTCTTTTACCTATGATATCTTTAGAAAATGCAGTGGCTTTAATTGTAGCAGTAAAATTATCATATTGTTTCGCAAAAA